TTCTCATGTTAACATTTTAACATAGAAAAACCCTTTTTAAATTGTTTTGTCATTTTAGGTTCACCTCTAAAATACCTCTTTTTTATGATCAAAATCTCAAATTGTTAATATATGAGATATAAAAAACATAAAATTATAATTTTGTAAAAAAAAAATTATAATTAAAAAATATAAAAATATTATATTTAATATTTTATATATATATATATATATATATTATTTACATATAACGTTATAAATATATTTATATAGATGAGAGGAAGGGAAACCTTCATGAAAAATAAAGAACAATTTAATAATCATTTATCAGTACGGTATACATATATGCATATTTATCCGATGTGTATACATTACATGGATACTTTGAACGTATGTATGTATATATTTTATATGCATATACATGCTAAACAAATTACTTGTATACAAATGTATATATTATGCTCGTTAATAATTATTAGTGTGTTTCTCAATTTTTATATTTGGTTTTCTTTTAAACCAACTCTTATATATAAAATTATATATATATATATATATATGTGTGTGTGTATGTGTATGTGTATAAAAACCTTTATAATACAAAAGAGAGAAATGATTAAAAGATTAAATTAAAACCTGGAAATTTTTAATTAATTTCCATATATAAAAAATATAGGAGGATTTAATTACCACAAGCAACGCTTTGATGTGTCTGCGATTGAAACCATCTTCTTTATCTTCACTGCAATCCAGCATTGAATCCAACATATCACCAAATCTTGGAAGCTTCGATTCTCGATGCTTTAACCTCTCGTTTATAAACCCATCTATCACTTTATCAAACCAACCATACGCCGCCTTCGCCTGCCGCCGGATGTTCTGAGGATCCAATGGCTTCAGCACCGGAAATATATCTGCTATGTTAAACTTTCCGTCCACCACCATTAATGTCCTTACAGCTTCCTTAAACCCTCCGATATCATCGGAATCATATCTAGTCACATTCTGTGAAAGAATTGTATTTGACATCTGGTTGAGTGCCACCGCAAATGCCAACTTTCCGACATCCACCACCTCCTTTTTCCGGCCAGACTCCCGAAGGAACTCCAGCATCTCATCGACCACGCTCTGACGAAGGCCGCAAAGGGTGTCGAGTTTGTGTTGGTGGGTGAGGTATGTGTTGAGGGCTTTTCTGATGGTCCGCCATTCTTCATTTGCTGAGATCCACAGAACCGCCACGTCATGGTGTTCTAAGGCGGTGACAGCGTCTGGAACAACACGGCCGGAGCAGGCTTCGTCGTTGCGTTGGAGGATTTCTCTGGCGGCCTCCGGTGAGGATACCACCACGGTGGTGATGCTGCCCAATCGGATGGTCATAAGTGGACCGTGTTTCTGTGAGAGTTTGGCTAGGGATTCATGGGGATTTGGTCCAAGGTCAAGGAGGTTTCCGATAATGGGGAGGCCGGAGGGTCCCGGAGGTAATCTTCTTCTCCGATGACGGTCAAGGGCATGGAGGAGGAAGAGAATGAAGAGAAAGGAAGATAGAAGAAGAAATAGAAGCTCCATTTTTGTTTCTTGTTACGGGGATTAACGGAAAGGCTCGTGGGTGTGTATTTATAGAGTCACACCAAAATGTGATAATGACGTCAGCTACAACAACTTTTTTTTTTAAATATAAAAAATAGGGGTTTTGTTTTTTATTTTATTTAAAAAAGATTTTCTATATTATTTTTAAAATAGGAAAAATATGTAAAACCTTTTTAAAAGAATTTTTAAATTTAATACGAGGACAGAGAAATGGTTTTTTATTTATTTATTTCACTAATGACATTGAATTGTTATCACTTTTTATAATATTAAAAAAAAAAGATAAGATTATGGAATTATTTTAATAATATAAATTATTGTTGAAATATCTGAAATAGAATATCTGATTTTATAAGATTCTAAAATTTTGATTCTACATTTTAGGGAATTTATAAAAAAAATTTGTTTGAAGTATTACCGCTCATGATATACGAACTAGCTAGGGATGCTCAAAAATCCAACCAATTCGGCCAACCCGACACGAAATAACCTAATCCGATGCCTAACTGAGTTTAAGGTTACGATCATTTGAACTCAATTCAACACGATGAACCTGATATCGTTTTATATCTTGGATTTAATATAATTGTTAAGTCCGTATTAGTATGTGTATTAGACAATTACACCATCGCTTATCCTCTTCATATACATATACTTTTAGTCTCTTCTCCATCTTTGTATACCTTATTTGTATATATATTCAGTAAATGTGAACATATTTATGCAAATTGAAAAAAAATAGTTGAATGCAATATACTTAAACTTCAAGAAGTATCGATAAGTTATACCAAATGATTGAAAATAAAAAAGGAATTATGAGTAGAAAAAACAACATATTTAAAGGTAAGAGAATCAATTGGATATCTGATTATGGTCAGTCAGTTCTAATTAAATCGGTCGGTTCTAATTGGATTGGATGATTTTCTGAACATCTCTAAATGATATAGGGTGTTGGTACATGTGATTGGATTAGTCAGGCATGACATAACCTCACAGAATAAAAACTTAATTTCTTTAAGTTTAATGTGACACAAAACTAAGACAAACATGGTTTTTTCCTTCGACCAAAAATAGATAGAATAAAAATCACATGAATGAGAAAGAACTAAAAAGCACATGGTAGTCGGTTAATGGTCACTATCACCGCCACCACCACTACCACTACCGTCGATCACCTCACCTCCATCACTGACTGACTGCCACCACCTCTACCTCAATCACTACTACCGTCACTAAGCACACAAGATTTGTCCTGACATTTTTCAAAGTCCCATTCAAAATATAAATGTAACAGTTTAATTTTTTTTTCCAAATATAGTATTCATAAAAATTTCAAATTAATATAATAAAAAAACATTCAAAGGCCTGATTTGCTTAAAAGATCATCTTAATAACCTCTTATCACTTATTCAGTAAAAAGGTTAACTAATTCAAACTGTCTGTTTTTTTCCCCCCATTTTTCAAACCTTCTTATTACATACCATCCTCTAATAGAATAAGAGGTAAACCCACCACTTATTTACCTTTTATTGTTCTCTAGAATTAATGGTGAAGATAAAGTGCACCGAATAAATCTTGTCAATTTATTTATAGTAATATATATTCTATATTTAATATGTATAAAATCATTAAAAATTCTAGGCCTTTGACAATTGAAGACCTTGTATGACGGTACTACCGCCCCACCTCAAGACCACTCCCAAAGGCAGAAATAGAAGCTTCATTTTCATTTATTACTATGACAACAAATATACGTACTCGTGCAATGTAGCGAGATATATCATGATTTTAATATTTTATTTTATTATTTATCTCAGTCGATATTATAATATGATTTTATGTGATTTTGAGAAAGCGATGATGTTTTTTATTTTTGAATAAAATATATGTTTGAATATATCATAAAATTTTGACAAAAATTTATTGATATTAGTATCAAATTAACTATTTGAAATTCCTCATTTTTTTGTGTAATTTTTTATAATTTAATTTACGTACAATAACAAAATAATTTATATTTGGTTTAATAATATAATTTTCTTATAAAGATAATAATTAATTATTTTGTTGGAACTCGATAATTATCCTAATTATATTTTAGATTTTTTAGATTTTAAAATGAGATGTTCATCATCTATTTGATTATGTTTATTCGCAGTTATTTATACGAATTCAAACATCGAGCTTTAATAAGTTGTACTTATG